GGAACGGACTTTGCTGGGACATATCAGCTGGGTACGTGGGCTCATGGATATAGGTATAGTGCACAACGTACAGTGGTGTGATACTAGAGACATGACCGCAGATGGGCATACAAAGGGGAGTATCGATCGGGAGCTGCTTTTGGAGGTAATGTCAGGCACTCAGACATTTAAGTATGACGTGAAGCATTTTGTTCCCTTTCGGGGTCCCGAGGACAGAAACAAGCCTAAGTCAAATCAGTTTTAGTCTGTCCTTGTTGCCCCCGCGGTCCAGTCTGCCAGCACGGGCGCCTAATACAGAGGCGCCCTCCTGGTTGCTCGGAAACGAGCCTTACTTTTCACGCTTGGCAGCGAGCTTGTTCAGATTGACCCAGGCTCTTTGCTTTGATCCCCTTTTGCTCGGAGAGGTATAGCCTGTTTGGCTTACCTCTAGCCGGGCCGATAGCCCTTTGATGTCCAAAGGGACATCTTGCGTATGCGTGAAAATGCTTTGCGAGGAAACTCGCCTTACAGTCTGGTGTTAGGCCAGACTGTACGTACTGTTTTTCTTGCAAACAGTCGTGCGCGCGGCCTTTGTGGAGCCTAACGGCTGCGCGGCTATACTCACCGTCTCCTCCCCTCCCGACTTTAAGGGTAGTTCTTTGGGAGATGTTATTTAGGATCGGGAGTATAGCTCGCGCGCCGTTGCCTTTGGCTCAAGGCACGCGCGCCCTATTTGCCCGGACAGCTGGTGTTCGCTATGTGTTGGAAAGATCATTACATCGATCTTATCCTATCTTATCCGTCCGCTCCCCATACTGAACTACCCCAGCATGGCATTGGACGCTATCTGCCATCCGCTCCCCATGGAATCGGATGCTATTTGACTTACCGTAGTCACTTCAGGCTACGTTGATGTTTGTCCGTGTTGCGGCTGTAAAACAGCCAGTTGCCGTTAGGGCTTTTCATGGGGCGTTCCGGTTTAAGTTGGGTCGTTTGAAATCGTTTGGGAGAAAAGTGCGTTGAAGGTTGTTGTTTGGATAGTGTGTGCGCACGAGGGGGTAACCCTGGTCACCCGCTGATGTGGCTACCCCGTGAGTGACGCGAGGTCGTGCACAAGGGACAGGGAGCGGGACGGGGAAGATAGCGAGGAAGATAACAAGGAGGATCACTATCAAATCTTTGGCGTGTCTTTCTCTGTGGGAGCTTTTTGAGGCCACTTGGAGCCACGGAGGTGCGTGTATGTTGCCTCGGTCCCTTCGCCCTTTAAGACGCTCCATCTCTTCTCCCCCCTCTCGTTTCGGTCCCAACAGGCTGGTTCGTGTTGGTCTGCCTTGGGTCCACCAGTGCCTGTCGCACCATTGATGGGCCCACCGCAAGCTGGGTCCATCTGTCTGGACCCCGCCTCTTGCCGCCGATCATTTCGACCAGTTTTGTAGTAAGAGTGTGTACCTATATCGTCCCGCCAGCCGCTGTCGCACCACTGGTCATTGTACATGTATGGTTTGCTGTATCTCTGGCGGGGCGCGGCCAGTCGCTGTCGAACCGTCGGCAATTCGTGCCCTCATGATCATTCATGTGCTGTCTGTCTGTCTGGGCGCCAGCCCGTCGCGTCCCACTTACAATCCTATCGTGTGCTGGCTGTCTGCCTGGGAAACACCATATAATTTGAAATGTTCCTGGCCCGCCGTTGCTGCCGCACAAACGATTCGTACTCAATTCTAGGCGCTACGCGTATCCCCATCAGCCCATCCACAAACGATGCGTAGGGGAGCTGACGGAAGAACTGAAGAAGAGACGCAAATAGTGAAACCGAGCGGGCAACAGCGGTGAATTGGGAGATCTTTTGTGGTGAAGGTTGCATGTGTTGTTGCTGGTGCTCTTGCTCCTGCTGGTATTGCTTAGGATGAGGAAGAGGAGGGGGGAGGGGGAGGAGGAGGAGGAAGAGGAGGAGGAGGAGGAGGAAGGGGAAGAAGAGGAGGAGGAACAGGAGGAGGAGGGAAAGGCGGAGGAGGAGGAGTAGGAAGAGAATGTGGAGAAGAAGAATGAGGAGGACGAGAACCAGCAGAATAGCCAGAAGCATCGTGAATGCCTTTTGGATGTCTCTCGGAAGCCTTTTGGATGCCTCCTGGGGCGTCTTGGGGGTATCTTGGCGATCCAGGGGGGCTCTTGGGCGTCTTGCGCGCTTCGGGGGGGGGAGCCTCTTTGGGCCGCTTGGGTCCCCTTGGGGGCCTCGTGGGAGCCTCCTGGGCGCCTCTTGGGGCCATCTTGAAGGAGATCGATCAAAGAAGAGGGTGGTGGCAATTAGCGTCCCTCCATCGGGAGCCTCTAAAATCGCCTCTTGGACCCCTCTTGGAGCGCTCTTGGGCGCTCTTGGGGCCGTCTTGGGGCTCTCTTGGGCCCCTCTTGGGGCCTCCTTGGCCCCTCTTGGAGCTATAGGCCTCGGACGGCCATCGGAAGCGAAAAAGCGAGAAGGCAAACATCATTGGTGTTCCTTAGGTTTTTGAAGGATTTTGGCCTCTTGGAGGCCTCCTTGGGGTGCTATTTGGCTTCTTGGAGCCGTCTTGGGGCGGTCCTGGGGCCTCTTGGAGCATCTTCGGAGCCATCTTGAGGCATCTTAGGCTATCTCGAGCCATCTTGGAGCTCATCTTAGGCTCTCCGGAGCGCTCTTGGAGCCGTCTCGGGCCATCTTGGGCGCTCTGCCGACCAGCGCCCCCCCCCCCCGTCCAGGTCCAGGGGAGGGGGCAGGGGGAGGGGTAAACCCCTCCCCGAAGGGAAGGAAGGAGGGTTGGACGAGGAAACTCCCTAGACCACCTACGCCCAGAGGGCTGGTGGGATTTCTTGTTGCCCACTCCTCAGGCACATTGACCCTGTTGCTGCCGCGCGAGGGTGATCACGTCTTGGGGCGCACCCCTCATATGATCGTGATGGTGTGGAGGAGGTAGGTGATGACGAATCTATCATGATGATGCTGATGGGCGTCGCTATGGATGCGGTAACGATGATGGTGACGACGATGATGGTGATGCTGATGATGCTGATGCTACTTATGTTGTTGCTGGTAATGGCGAGTGATGGTGGCAATGGTGGTGGTTGTGCTGACGGTGGGTGTGTGCACGATTACACAACTGACAATGTTTGTGTTGATCATGGAGTTGTTGGCGGTGATGAGAGCATACGTAAAGTAGCCGCGGGGGGATGAGGTGGGGAGAGATAGCGAGATAGAAAGAGAGAGGGAGAGGGAGATCATGCCATCATGAACGACAGAAAGAGAAAGAGAGATATAAGGGGATAGAGATGTACAGAGAGAGAGAGAGAGCGAGAGAGAGAGAGAGGTATGGGGAGAGATAACCATGGAGAAGGAGGAAGAGGAGGAGGATGTGGATAACCAGCTGGAGGAGGAGAGGGACGATAGGTACCAGGATCAGGCGGACGAGCATGAGTATGAGGATGTATGACAACAGCAACGACGACACTGATTATTGAGAATGGGAGGATGGTAAGGATGACTGAGATTTTTAAAAATATTCTGACACGTTTATGCAGGGTGAGGAAGATGATGGGACGCAAGAGGATATTAACATTAAAGATGTGGACGGCGACGATGGGGATGAAGACAATGCTGTTGGAGATAATGATGATGAGCAAGGTGATGGTGCTTATTATGATGATGGCGACGATTTCTGTTAGTACGATGCTTACGATACGTACGGCGATGTGGACGACGAAGGCGGCAATGACGATTGCGACGACGATGCTGATGATGCCAATGGTGATGCTGATGACGACGACGACGATACGACGGCGACGACCACGACCACGACCACGACGACGACGACGAGCACGAACCCGACGACGATGACGACGACAATGCTGATGACGATGATGGTGATGATGAAACTGCTCATGCTGATGATAATTGTGATGTGGATGGTAAGGGTGATGGTAATGGTGATGATCATGGTGCTGATGAAGATATATATATATATATGGTGATGAGGATGATGCAGCCGAAGAGGGTGATCACGATGGCGATGCTGCTGACGACGATGATGATGAGTAGCGATGCTGATGATGTTGATGATGATGATGATGTTGATGATGATGATGGTGACGTGGAGGAGGATGCTGCTGATGGTGGTAATGATTAGGATGATGATAATGATGATGATGGTGGTGCTGCTAGTGACGATGTTGATGGTGATGACACTGCTGATGACAGTGTTAATGGCAATGCTGATGGTGTTGATGCTGCTGATGGAGTTGGCGATGATGATGATGGTGATGATGATGATGATAACGTGGAGGAGGATGTCGGTGATCACGACCAGGATGATGTTGATGATGGTGATGATGATGGTGGTTACCCTTGTGATGATGATGAGTGTGTTGACGATGGCGATGATGATGACGGTGGCAATGACGATGACTATGATGGTGGACGGTGGCGATGGCTGATGCTGATGGATGATGGTGATGCTGATGATGATGGTGCTGATGGTGATGATGAGAAAGAACGACGGAAAATGAGGACGTTGAGGAGGAAGATGAGGGGGGTCCGTAATCAGTTTGGCTCAAGCCATTTCGGCTCATGGCTAAACGTTGTGAAGAGTCGGGGGCCCGAGAATCAACGATTAGTTTTGACCTATCCGTGGTCGTTTCTCGAGGTCGTGCTGACCGCGTTCTTTCTTTCCCGATCCCCACGGACAGCCCTCGTGCACCGTGGGCAGATTGCTCGCCGCAGTCATTTTCTGTGGGTGCGACTACCAGAGTAGACGCGAGGAATGGCTAGCAATGGCGACAGTGTAGAGCTGGCAGCCCAGTTCGAAGCTTGCCCTACGTTCCCGTCGCAAGGCTCGCAGGCAAGCGACCTCGGAAGCATCGCCACCCCTCTTCGTGCTGGTGAAGGGCGCAAGCGTCGAGCTCCTGTCGATCCTCCTCGCGGTGACCGTGCTGGCGCTGATGTCTTCGAGGCGCTGGATGATGCGCCCTCCGCGTCCGAGCCCAAGCACTTCGTGCGCGAGATGCAGACGAACTTCACCACGCAGCTCGCCGGTGTGCAGACTGCCGTCAACGTCTCCTTCGCTGACACGGCGATGAAGGTCAACGAGTCCTGCGTGGGTCTCGGCAAGCAAGTCGAGAAGAGGATCGCCCCCCTCGAGGCCAGAGTTCGGGTCACTGAGACTCGGATCGACGACGTGTTCGCGGAGATCAAGGCGCTCAGACGTAAACTGGGCGTCGCGCAGTCGGCTGTGGCTGCGGTTCCTACCTTATGTGCGGGCGCGAACTTCGACAGGAATGCGGGCCCCGCGATCATCGTGCCGCGTGCCAACGCAATGGTATCCCGAGGTGCGGCCATGGCGTCGCGCGTCGTCAATGGGCTACGCAACGTGCTATCGATGAATAGCAATGGGAAGGTGCAGGGCGACCCGTCGGCGACAAGGTTCTTTCTCAAGTTCAAGGGTGCGACCAATTATGCGAGCCGTTTGGTCAGCCAGACGCTGGGCGTGCTCAAACCTGATGCCCCTGGCGGAACATGGAAGATGCTGCATGTCGAATCTCTGGGCCGCCAGAAAGTGGAGACGTTCGCTGGCCCAGGCAAGCCCCCGTTCCAGATCAAAGGCGAGATGGCCTGCAAGAAAGCGAAGATCGCGTTCGACGCCAAGTATCCAGACAGGCGCATCTCCATCAATCGTGAGAAGGGCATTTTGCTTTATCAGTGGAAAGAGTTACTGGGGACCACGCCGCAGCGCAATGAGGTGCCGTCGCTGCGCTGGAAGATCCGCAACCTCGAGGCGCTGGGCTTCGACGTCGAAGCTCTGCGCGCAGGCGTCACTGCGGCCCTCGCTGGAGGCGAGGATGACGCAGGGTGGTGTGTTCAGCAACTTGCATGTGCTTTGGAGCGGGCGTCAACGCTCCACCGTGCCCATCCGTCCTGCCACATGGAACGGAGCAGCTCTCTTGCAACACAAAATTAAGCTGGCATGCAATAGTCAGGAGTTGCTCGCGTGCCTTCTGCAGCCAGGATCCACTGTTGCAGTTCAGGAGACGCACAGCAATGTGCATGATCTAGAAGACTTCGTGCATCAGTTTCAGGCCCCATTCCAGTGCACTTCCTCTCGTTCCCTGCCTGTCTCTCAAAGTGAAGTGTTTGAACCGTCGGCTGCTGTTGGTCAGGGCGCAGCCGCGGCAGCCAACCGCACTGGTTGTCGCGCCACGCGTTTCCTAATTTTCCAGGGGCCTGAGGTTCGGCAGCAGATTTGTGGGTTTCCTCTCCCTCTCGTCCCCTCGGAAGTTCTGGTCCCTGGACGTGTTCTTCACGCGAAGATAGGTCCCCCTGATGGTCGCTCGTGGATATTTCATATTAACGTTCACAATCGTGACCTCACCGCGCAGGGGGGCGCCTCGTTTTTCAAAGAAAATCCAGATGAGACCACCAATGACAATAAGGCCACAAGACAGGCTCATCTTTTTTTGCTAGCGACTTCAACTTTAGCCACATTCCTTCGCATGCTCTTGCGCCTGACCCTGATGCGGCCCCTCCGGGCCCCCCGCCTCTTCCTCCGCGTGAACGGCGCGAAGCACCAGGTCCTTTGCTTGAATTCCAGCTGGAGGCCCCCGCCCATTTCCACCCTGGGACGAACAAGCTCTCCTGCGTCGATCGGATATTTTCGCTGACCCCAGGGCGGGTCCCCACTCGGCATTCTACGAGTGGCGAAGTCAGCCAGGACCCCGAAGTTTTGCAGCATTTTGCATGCCAAAGGGATCTCGGACCATTCGCCAGCTTGCGTCTGCATTCAGGCGCGGCAGAAGGTTCCCGCAGGGCGGAGGCCGATGCCGCGGGTTATTTTCAAACCGGAGGAGTACGCAGAGTTCCTCTCGCATGCTTGGGCCACGGCGCCCCCGTCGGACGACATGAGTCAGCCGATAATTCACGAGCGCGCGAAGACGCTGATGAACGAAGCCGCCCGCTCTGCGCTTGATCGAGTCATCCACGCGTAAACCTAGCAGCACCGCGGCTAAGTTCTACATTGCCCGAGGCTGCGCGAGGGCAGCGTTTCAACGTGGTTTCTTGCTCGCCCAGCGTCTTTTTCGTTCGCATCCGCTTGCTCGGGGGCGCCATGGTGCGCATTGACTCTCGGCAAGTGTCGTTGCGTACCCCAGCGGGGTTCTCGGTCATCTCTCGCGCGCTGCACTGCGAAGCGGGGGCCAAATTCCGAGCTGAGGTTCTTCGCCAGCGAGCCGATCGGGGGACTGACTTTTACCGGCGGGACCGTCTCAGGAAACGACGCAAGCAGCTCGTGGCGACGCAGCAGCCTTGGTCCCCCATCGACAAAAGGATGCATCTTGCAGGCATTAGGTTGGACAGCGGCACCACTCTGACCGAGCCGAATAGCATGTTGCACCAGTTAGGTGAGCATTGGCCATCTATCTTTACGGCGAAGCCGTTCGTGAGCGACGCAGCGAGTGCCCTGATGGGTCAGTATGCGCCGAAGATGCCGCGCGCCGATCTTCCGCCCCCATGCAGCCATACTCTGAGGAAAGTTCTGGATCGCGTCCGTCCTTCGGCCCCTTGCCCTGGCAATCTGCCGCGCGAAGCCTGGAAGCGCGCCCCCATGGGAAGCAGTGCGAGGTTGATGTGTCAGGGCTGTTCCCCCGGCGGCGACCTTAACTGCGCCTTGGGAGTGTTTGCCCCGAAAGCTTCTGAACAGGATGGCGGTGACGGCGCTTTGCGTCGCGCTTCTAACGCTCGCCCTATAGGCCTCAAAAATGCCGACAACAAGTTGATAACTGCTGCCGGCTACTATGCGCTCAGCCGCGCTGCTCTTCAGGGGCTCGACGGAATACAGGGCGGCTTCGTTGCGGGGAGAAGCTTCGGAGACAGTACTATAGATTTAGATGCGCATGCTCGTGCCTATAGCATGGGCGACCCTTCTCTTCTCCGGGCATTGGTCGGGTACGACTTTGGCCAGGCGTTCCCTTCAGTCAGCCAGCGGTGGATGGCGGCGGTGACCGACTCCCTGTAGATTCCTGCTGCGCTGGTGGACTTTTTCATTTTGCTGCGCGAGAATGTAGCATGCCGGGGAAAATGAGACACCATATCAGAGTCATGTTTGATATTGCCAGAGGTATCGTCCAAGGATGTCCAGCATCGGGAGCTTTGTTCGCGTTGTCCATGGGCCTTTTCCTCCGGTGGTTCAGGGCTCTGGTCGACCAGCCTGATCGCGGCATCGCTCGCGCGCGCGGACGATATTGGCGCGGCCTTTTCGTCGCTCGATGCACTTGCTGCGCGCGTTTAGGGTCTTCGAGGAAGCCGAGCGCATAGCGAACCTGCGCCTGAATAGTCTCACATGCGTTATTGCACCCTTACGTTGCCCAGTGACGGCTCGGCTGACACTCCGCGTCAAAGCTTGGCTTCTGGAACAGATCCCTGCGTGGAGGGATGTTGCGACTGGCGGTGAGCTAGGCTGCCTCGGCATGCTTCCGGGCCCCGCGGTGGCCCCAGAGGACCCCTGGATCAAGCCCGTCGATAAGTATATCCAGCGTTCACGTAAGATTAGTGCCCAGGGTAGCTCCTCAGAGGTCTCTGCGGGTTTGTGCAGATCTCGAGCTCTACCTGTTCTGTCTTGCGTGGCCCCATTTGTCCCTCCTCCCGCTCGTCTTCGCCATGATGAATATTGCATCTCCCCTTCGGGGATTCAAAATGCAGTATCGGGCTACAACGAATGCGGACTGGCACAATCTAGTACTATGGGTTGGTATGCAGCTCTTATCCGAGCCTCGCTGTGCATTCTTAGGACGTAGCAGATTGACGTCGAACGTCTCTACGCTGCCGCTGAGGCCGGGTTGCCGCTAGTTCGTTCCCTTGCCGAGACGCCGTGGCCTGTGCACTGGAAGAGCCCCCCGCGCGCGTTGAACCTCCTCGAGGCCTCCAAGGGGTTCCCGAAAGACGAGAGGATGGCCTTAGCTGGGGAGGCTGCCCTCCGCGCCCTTCGCGATGCTCAAAATGCCCGGCCCCTCAGACCCTTCAAATCCTTGAAACCGCAGCGCATTTGTCCCCAGAGGATGATGGAAGTCTTGTACCTTGATCGTGTACACCTCACTTTTAAAAGGCGCCTGCTTCATGGTCGGCCTGGCATTCGCCTGCTGATCAGCCGCAGTGGAAACGCGTCCGAAAAGTGATTGCCCCGCCCCCCCCCTCTCTTGGAGATCTGCCGCCCTCCAGACTCTCGGGGGCCTTTTGTGCACGAGCCATCGATTTCAAGGTAGCTGTGGTTGTTTGTTTGGGTGTCCTGGTGGGTCCGATAGTTTTTGGCATTGCTGGTCCCGGCCTGTTTTTTTCTGGCTTCTCGAGGAACTCCTGGGGCACCTGGTCGAGGAGGAACCCATTGCCCGTCTCGGAGTGCGCTGGTCATCGAAGGAGGCGTTCAGAGTTCCCGTGCACGCTTTCTCTTTATATAATGCCCCACACAATTTATCTCTGTCGCCGCAGGCTACTGTTTCCATGCAGCGTGCGCAGGCTATTCTCCCGACGGTTCGATTTCTGATCGAGCGTTTGTCGGCTTCTGCGTCGCGGGCATGACCGAGGACTGCCGCTCTCGGGCGCGTTCGAGGAGGATGAGGAGGAGGAGGAGGAGGAGGAGGAGGAGGAGGAGCCGGAGGACGACGACGACGACGACGACGACGACGACGACGACGACGACGACGACGACGACGGCGACCTGGACGAGGACGAAGCGGAGGCGGAGTCCAGAGGCAGGTCGCCGCCGCCGCGCCCGGTGCTCCCAGAGGCCCTGCGCGCACCGGCGGGCGCAGAGCTCCATCTGGCAGCAGCTCGACCTGCCCACCGGCGCCTCCAAGGACGCGGCCCTGCCGCTCCAACTCTCAGGGGCCGCGCTCGGGGGGGGTAGTTTCAGGGGGGATGCATCGACCGCCCATCCCCCAGCGATCGCCGATAGACGGCCCGCCCCGCCCAGGTGCGTACCGGCTCGCTGTTGGGGGCCTTGCCGCTCCAGCTCTCAGGGGCAACGCCCGGTGCTCTACGGCGCAGCCAAGGCGCACCTCCTCGGCGAGCTCGACGGGACGGAACGCGCGCGCGGAGTTAAGGTCCTGGACGTGTCCAGCCCTCGAGCCAGGTAAGTCTGGGGCCACGCTAGGGGGGGGGAGGCTCAGGGGGGGACGAATTGATCCCCAATCGCGCAGTGATCTCCGATTGGGGCGCGATAGCCAGCCCCGCCCATGAACGTGCGAATTCGCTATCGGGAGCCTATCGCCAATCTATCGGCGATCGCCGATTCCATGTCGATGTTTGCTCCTCTGAGCTGGCCCCCCCCCGACCGTTGCCCCTCCAGCTTGGAGGGATGGAGAGCCCTCGCCATGAAGCAAACGATTCCCGACGGAAGCGTGCCTTGCGGATGCTTGTCGCCGTTTTGGCTTGCAGCAACCCTTTGTTCCATGCCAAAACACGAGACAACCATGGGACAACCCACAAGACAACCCATGGGACAAACACAAGACAACAACTGGACTCAACTGGACAGCCCACAGGACACTCTTTTTGATTACCAGCCGAGAGTTGCCCAGTGGCGAAAACAGGCGGGGTAGGACATCTGCTGCACGCCGCAGGTTTTGCCCTCGCCGCCTGCAAGCTTGCCCGTTTCCTCGGCACCCTGGCGCCTGGAAGACCGGCCGTCTGCACCCCGGGTTCCTTTCGAGCCCGTTCGGTGTTTGAGCCCGTTCGGCCGCCAGCTGGGCAACCGAACGGAGTCGGTTCCAACATGGCAACGCCAGAAGTTCAGAGTGGGAGAATATACCCATACTGCTGCCCTTCCCTCGTTTTTGCATGTTTGCGCCTCCTGGGAAACTTTCGTCGCCACCGTTGGATTCGCTTCGAATTTTTTGTCAGAACGCACCCCAGGAGAGGTCCCGGGAGTAGCGGCATTGTTACTTTTTGATTTCCCCAGAAGTGTCCCGTTCGGCAGCCGACCGGCCTCGATCCTGATCCCATTCAGTGGCCGAATGGGCTCAGACACCGAATGGACCCTGATTTCCCGATTCCCCCCCCCCCCCTCTGCTACCTCAATGGTTTTCACGACCAGATGCATGCCAGACATTATGCTCGAAACGACTCCGGTCGCGTTGTAGGAGTTCCGCTTCGGCGGATACGTCACCTCGGCTTTGTTGCAGAGGAGAACATGTGAGCGACGCAGGAAGACGGGGTTGTCTTCACCGACGTTGGCGCGTAAGCGTTCCGCGTAAGGTTGCGCGTAACCGCCCTCGTTTCCACTGTCGTGATGGCAACAAGCGTAAGCCGCCGCGTAAGGTCGCTATACCACCTCGCGTTAAACCCGTTTCTTTTCGTCGTTCAGCTGGTCCGGGACACCCAGGACATGCGATGTCTTGTTTGTTTCAATAAGCGGCCCCCGGAAGTCCCAGCTCTTTCCCCAGGGCTGATTTTTCATCCTGAGTCGTTTCCCCGCGAGGGCCCCCAGGGGCCGAAAGTGGCCGCTTTTGTTTGTCGCTCATGCGTCGGTAAGAGAACTGTGGTGGGACCTCAGCGGCAGGCCAGCCGAGCGGCAGGCCAGCCGTAGAGCCCAGCTCCACCCGAGGGAGCTGCCCCTGCCCTTCCCTCACGAACTGGACGCGGGCCCTCCCGGCGGGGAAGCGGGAAGTCGGGCGGGTCGTCATGGGGGGTGGGCTCCATTGTGGGGTGGCGAAAAAGGGCCCTAAAGGGGCCCTTCAGGATTTGGATTGTGCCCCTGCTGGCTGCAAAAGAGGCCCTTTCTCCACCCCCCATCTAGGTCACCCCCCATTGCCACCCACCCGAGGAAGAAAGGATGGGGGGATCTATGGGCATGCTCTGGACAGGTTTCCTGGATCGGCCACGGGGAATCGGAGAGGGATGCCGTCAGGCCTGAGGCTGCGCCTCAATTGCCCCCCGAGGCAGGTTCGACTGGCCTCAGCATGCCCCCGCAACAGCCCTGGGGGGTCTCAATACTCCAGCGCCACCTCTGGCGGCGCCGCCCCAGGGGCGCTCCGCCCCACAGAGTTGGGGTGTCGCGACTGGCCCTGGACTACTCGGAGAGACTGTTGAGGCCAGCTGGGATTGCCGTGATGGGAAGGTCTGAAGTGGAGACGGAAAGGATGGGGACGAAATGTCGACAGAGGTTCTTGACAGGGAACTCTGCCGACCTGCTGGCAATGGACAGGGCCTGTCCATTTCGAGGAGGATTCGTTGTCTGTGTTGCCATGGGCGTCGTCCGTTTGTAGCTGGAGACGCCTGCCAGACAGCGGTCGCTGTGGGTTTGGGGCAACAGGCGTCCGGATTGGAGGGATGGGGGCGAGAAGTCGAATGAGACAAAATTGCATCCGAGGTCCTTGCGGATGTCTTGGGTCCGACCTGGCCCTCCCCGGCGGCGCCTTCGGCGCTGGCCTGATGAATCCGCGGTGAGCTCCAAAAGTTCGCACTTACGCAGCTTGTTGTTCTCCAATGGAAGGGCGCGCCCGGCAAGCCAGCAGCCCTTAGACCTTTCCGAGGACCCAGGGGAGAGTTTAGGCTCCGTCGGCGCGGCCAGCATCCAATAGCTGACCTCCGCGCCCGACCCGACGTCCTCGTCGGCGGAAGCTGGGGGTGGCACGGCCTCCAGCCTCCCCCCTCCTCTGCATGGGTGCGTCTCCTCCCCGCCTTCCGATACCGCCCACCCCGCCCGCCCGCGAGGGTCCGCGCATCCCGTCAGCCTGAGAGTCCGCCCGTCCCGCCTGCATGCTATGGACCGCCCGCCCGCTGGGCTTACCGGGAAGGAGGGGTGGGAGAACGGGATGACAGGCTCACTTCCCTTCCTTCGCTTCCTCCCATCCTTCCCATCTCCCTCCGGGGTAGATCAGCAGCCGAGCACCCCCACTCGTTGTTTACTCCTGCCCCTGGCCAAAGTCCGATAGGGTCTCGAGGAGGTCAGCAGCCGAGCGCCCCAAATCGTCGTTCACTCTTGCTCCTGGCCAAAGGCCGTCTCGAGGAGGGGGAGCAGCAGCAGCAGCAGCAGCAGCACCAGCACCAGCACCAGCACCAGCACCAGCACCAGCACCAGCACCAGCAACAGCAACAGGACCAGCAGCAGCAGCAGCAGCAGCAGCAGCAACAGCAGCAGTAGCGGCGGCGGCTACAGCAGCAGCAGTAGCGGGAGACGGAGGGGGAAGAGGTGGAGGAAAGAGGAGGAACGAGGAGGAGCCAAGAGGAGCGAGAGAGGAGGATGTGGTGAGAGGGTGGAGGAATGAGGGGGACGAGGAGGAAAGAGGAGGAGCCAACACGAGCGTGGGAGGAGGCTGGGGTGATGGACAAGGAGGCGACCTGCCCCGGCAGCGGGGCACCCTTTCCTCTGGTGCACCGCAGCGCAGGCGTTCGGCCGACCCGGCGGCCGCTTCCAAGGGCGCCTCCGTCCAGGGCCAGCGCCAGAGGGATCAGAGACCAAAGGCGCTGGACCCCCCGGCGCGCTCCGCGCGCCAGGGAGGGGGGGTGCAGCGCAGATCCAAGTAGTCCGCGCGGATTGTCGAACGCTTACCTCTTGGGGGCCTCTTGGGGGCCTCTTGGGGGCCTCTTGGGGGCCTCTTGGGGGCCTCCTGGGGCCCCTCGGGGCCGAGGGTTCGAAATTCGAAATGTCCGCTCGGGCTCCCCATCTTGGTCCCCTCTTGGAGCCGCCTTTGGGCCCTCTTGGGCCGTCTTGGGCGCCTCTTGGGCCGTCTTGGGGTCCTCTTGGGCCGTCTGCCTCTCGGGCCGTCTTGGGGCGATCGTTGGGGGCCCCGTGGGCTGTCTTGGAGCGTCGGAGTGCCGAAAAGGCGAGAATTCCACAAGCTAATGTAAATGAATCATTGATTTGTCTCTTGGGGTTCTCTTGGGAAGCCTCTTGGAGGATTATTGGGGCGTCTTGGAGGCCTTTTGTGCCGTCTGGAGGCCATCTTGGGCGTCGTGGGGCGATCTTTCGGCGACTCGGGCTCCTCTTGGGCCGTCTTGGGGGCCTCGTGGGGCCCTGTTGGGCTGGCTTGGGGCCTTTGGGGCCGGAATCAGTCACGCGACAAGATGCAAGGAACCTTGGGGGGCACGCGGCAAGCCCAAGAAGATTTGGCAATTTGGGCTCTGGGTCCTTGAAGAACCCTTAATCCAGAGGACTGAGGACTACAAGCAGTGACCTGAGGGCACGTCTCTTCGCGCCTGAGGGCACGGTGGCGGATGTAGGCGCCCCAGCGCTGCATCGCTTGGGCAGCCAGGACGCCTGTACGCCGAGCTCTCTGGCCGACCAGGCGGCTCTCGTGTATAGGCTTCCTTCGTGGTCCATGAGCCCTCCAGTTCGTATTGAACATGGCTGGGTGACGAAGAAACGCCTCGATCACAGCTGCTCGTGTGGCATGTTCGGGCGCAGCTACTCGACCACCGAGGGGGGGATGGGGGAGGGAGAGGTCCTCCCTGTCTGGTCGTCGTTGTCACCGCCGCAGTTGTCGTCGTCGTCGTCCCCCTCCTCCTCCTCCTCCTCCTCCTTCATCTGCCTCCTCCTGCTCTTTGTGCTGTTCTGGCTCCGTCTCGTCTTCCGTCCTCCCCCTGCTGCTGCTCTTCCGTCTCATCCATCGCATTATTATCCTCCGCATCGTCATCACCGTCATCATCAACATCATCATCCTCATCATCATCAGCATCATCATCATAATCATCATCACCATTCATCACCATCATCACCATCATCATCATCATCATCATCGTCATCATCATCATCATCATCATCATCATCATCATCATCATCATCATCATCCGTAGCCATTCTGGCTCAAGCCATTTTAGCTCAAGATGGCGCGATCAGGGCAGATGTCTGGTCCCATGT